AATCAATTGCTGCCATTCCTACACGTGTATGATCTCTTCGTTGAAACGAGTCCAGAGGTCCCTTGCCTACACATTTCTAGAAACGGCACAGTCTATGGAGATGCAGCCAATGACAAGACCGCAATCGCCCACGAGCCAGAGTTGCTGGTGATCGAGCAAAATGCGCACACGACCACTTGCGAATTCGGGCCAACATTTTTCTTCGTGTCGCCCCGGACCAGAATAGATGGCGCGGAACCCTTGCCCGTTTTTCTTTTGCATCTTGATCGTCGTCGTCTTCTTTCCGACCGAGGCAATGAGGCACGTGGTCACCTCCCTCTTCTCCTCAACGGTGGCCGCCCAGCCATCGCGGGCTGACGACATCTACCATCTCAACCCTGGCCATGTTGGCCATGTCGCTGCCTCTGGCTCGTTCCTCGACGAGAAGGGCCCGTGCCTCAACTTATAGATCATATAACCTTCATGTCGCCCGGCCTGGCAAACAACAACTACCGCTCTCGGCGAAACGCGCCCAGCCAGCAGCCCCGGCACCACTGCGACGATCCGCAGTCTCGCACGCTTGGCCCCATGCGAGGCCTAGCGATAGACAATTACTGCTCCTCCGCGGCTTCACATCCCGCAGTGTCAAGCTCATGAATCGACGCTCGCTGTGACAACCAGGGTCTCGTTTGGGCCAGAGTCAATGTGATACGTCCCCGCCTGTCAACAGGGCGGCGGCACCCGCACGCCAAGACTGGATTCGTCTCTCACAGTCGCATCTTGCATCGACATGACAATTCATTTGCATGCCATCCATCCTCCTCGCTACCTCAGCTTGTGATTCTCACTGCGTCGGCCGCCGTGGCGCCGTTTCCTCCCGCACCACCTACCGTAGCTACCCCTCTCTGTCCACGCCAGTCACGAAATGATCCGAGGTGGCTGCGAGCGCCAGAGCTCTTGTGTCCGCCTCTGTGTTTGTGGCCGCCTCTGTGTTTGTGTCTGCGTCTGCGTCTGCGTCTGCGTCTCGCTGTAGATCCAAAGCGGTCAGCAGAAAAAACCCACGTCTCCTGTCAGCAAACGAAGAGCGCCACAGCCCGCCATGGCCATCTCATCTGGCTGCCCTATCGCGTTGCGCTCCGCGTTGCGCTCCCCGTCATCCTATCGCGACACCATCAGCGAGGACAGATGACCCACTGCGCCGCCTTCTCGGATGCGTCCGAGGCCTGACGATCAGCTCATGCCAGCCAAGCGCATTCAAGCTTCCCAGACGACCCCTTCCCTTCATGTTCCGCAGCACCTTACCCCTCCTTACCTACCTTACCCTGGATTATGGATGGCAAGCTACGTGGATCCGTTTCATGTGCGCTCCATGCCCATCGTCCCGGCCATTGCTTTGGGGTAGAGTTGATAGACGTCTGAGATGGAGGTGGCGAACACGACGCGCCGTGATTGCCCTTTACGGCCTGCAGGGGATATGCCGAGCAATGATGACAATACATCGAGAGAGGTGGTCACATATTTGCGAGTCCTTGATTTGTATGTGGGCCAAGAGAGGTGTGAGAGAATGCATTGTTGACCGGTTATCGTAAGGATCCGCCATGCTTGATGTGATGTGAGAAACACCTTGCACCTGCTTCCGAAGCATGTGATTTGTGCTGCACATGGCGTCGCATTCTCGTATGCCAGCTCAACGGATCAGAACTGACTACGTCTTGAGGTCCAGGATAATCGACGCCGACACTGAAAGTAGCTATTCGATCAAAATTGAAAGCAGCGTTGAAGTGGTAACGTGTAAATCATCACATGCCGTGACGCTTTACCATGTCTGCATTCGGAAATGGTCACGTGAAGTACAGTGTGAATCTCGTCGCATGGACCGACCTTGCTGATCACATGACAGCGAGTGTCTTTCTCGCGTCAATGCTGAAGTGGACCCTGATCCAACGCGACACGCGCTTCGCTTGTCGTACTGGCCTCCATCCATGGGCAGGGCGAAACCGCGGGGACCTTGCTTCGACCAACAGCCCCTCATCGCCCATCGCTGACCCGCGCTGTCGTCGGCGAATCGACACGACAGATACCGCAGCATGTCCGAATTCACTGGTTCCGTTGTGAACCCTTCTTTCATGCTTCCTTGAACATGCACTAATGATTCCCGCATATTTTAGAGGCAGACACGATTCGGATCCTCGTTGCGACGGACAATCATGTCGGCTATGAAAGAGCGAGACCCGATCCGCAAGGACGACAGTTGGAGGACGTTTGACGAGATCATGGAGATGGCAAAGAAGGAAGATGTCAGCACGATTGCGTCCGCACCATCCTATCTTCACCAGCTGACTTCCCTAGGTCGACATGGTCCTCCTGGGAGGCGACCTCTTCCACGACAATAAACCGTCTCGAAAGTCCATGTACCAGGTCATGCGCACCCTCCGAAGAAACTGTCTCGGCATGAAGCCTTGCGAGCTCGAATTCCTGAGTGACGCAAACGAAGTCTTTGAAGGCGCGTTCCCCCACGTCAACTACGAAGACCCCGACATCAACATATCCATCCCCGTCTTCTCGATCCACGGCAACCACGACGACCCCAGCGGCGACGGCCACTTCTGCTCTCTCGACCTCTTGCAGGTCGCCGGCCTAGTCAACTATTTCGGACGCATCGCCGAGGCCGACAACATCGAGGCGAAGCCGGTGCTGTTGCAAAAGGGGCAGACGAAACTGGCTCTCTACGGCCTCAGCAACGTCCGCGACGAGCGCATGTTCAGGACCTTTCGCGATCACAAGGTCAAGTGGTTCCGACCTAATGTTCAACAGACTGACTGGTTCAACCTCTTGACCGTCCACCAGAACCATCACGCCCACACCGCCACATCCTACCTGCCCGAGAATGTACTGCCTGACTTTATGGACCTGGTCGTCTGGGGCCACGAGCACGAATGCCTCATCGACCCCTCACAGAATCCCGAAACGGGGTTCCACGTCATGCAACCAGGCTCTTCCGTGGCCACCTCCCTGGTCGCTGGAGAGGCTGTGCCCAAGCACGTTGCTGTCGTCAGCATCACGGGCAAGGACTTCAAGATCAAAAAACTGCCTCTGAAGACGGTCCGCCCTTTTGTCACCAAGGACATTGTCTTGGCCACGGACAAGAGATTCAAGGGCGTGGACAAGATGAAGGACAATCGCCAAGAGCTGACAAAGCGGCTGATGAAGGTCGTGGACGAGATGATCGAGCAGGCCAACGCCGACTGGCTCGCCATTCAGGACGAGGGGGAGGATGCGGAGGAAGCTCCGCCGCTTCCACTGATTCGCCTCAAAGTCGAGTACACAGCACCCGAAGGCGGCCAGTACGACTGCGAGAACCCGCAGCGCTTCTCCAACCGCTTTGTCGGCAAGGTGGCCAATACCAACGACGTCGTCTACTTCCATCGCAAAAAGACGACGGCATCGCGTGCGTACCTTTGAAGCTGGGCCCTTTCCGTTTTCCTTCCCTTCGAGACTAACCTTCCATAGGAGGCAAACAGACGGCCGAACTGCCAGAAGGCATCGATGAGAATTTGGGCCTCGATACGGTCAAGGTGGAAGCGCTCGTGCAGGAGTTCCTCGCTGCACAGTCGCTCAAGATTCTTCCTCAGGCGCCCTTTGCGATGCAGTGAACCAGTTCGTCAACAAGGAC